GTAAATAGGTTTCTTCCCCTCGGGGGTCTCGCGAATGAGAGCCACGGTGACAGCCTCGGTTGCAACGACAAGGTATAGGTACAAAGTTTCCCCGCTTTCTGGTCGCGAGATGACTGAGGGTTGTAAAAGAACTTGTTTGAGATGGAGGAGGGCTTGTTCGCACTCCTATGTCCATTCGAATGCGACTTCTTCACACAGAAGTTTAAAAAATGGAAGTGCGTGTTGGCCAGACTTAGCCACGAAGCAAGACAACAAAGTGAGTCTCCCGTTTAAGAATTAAATTGATTTCTTCGAAGCTCGGTGTTGGAAAATTGGAGAAAGCCCTTCACTTTTCGGGGTTCACTTCGATTCCTCATTTTGTCAGATAGAAACTGAGGAACTTTCTTGCTCGGACGCTGAATGTGTACTTTTCCAAGTTGAACCTCATCATTCACTTCCTCGCTGTGTCGAAGACCCTTTTGAGATAGAGTATGGTCGGTTTCCTTTTGGGATTTCATGATCATGTCATTCATGTAGACCTCGAGCATGTCCCCAATCTCACCTCGGAAGACTTTGTTCATCATCCGCTGGTAAGTAGCGCTAGTAATAGTTGCCCGACTAGGTCACAAAAGTCGTGTATTGCTTGTCTATTTTTGCCATGGGCATTTGGTTGTACCCCAAGTTGCATCCATGAACGACAGTAGCTTGAAACCTGTAGAGTTGTCGACCAATTTATCGATGTTAGGAAAATGATATGCATCTTTAGGGAAGTCCTTATTAAGATTGGTATAGTCAACACACATACACCACTTTCCATTATATTTCTTAATTAATACAACGTTAGACAGCCAGATTGTGTACTAGGCTTCCGAAATAAAATTTGCCTCTAGAAGGTCTTTTACAACTAATTCAGCAGCCTCCGCTTTTTCAGGAGACTACCTATGCCTACATTGTACTACGGTCCTAACAGCAGAATCTATGGTCAGCTAATAACAAGCAACGTTGGGGTCCAGCCCGGGCATCTCTGCAACGCTCCAGGCGAACAAGACAATGTTCTCCCTTAGGCATGCCTTCAGTTGCTTCCTCGCTAGGTCGGGGAGTCCGGTTCCAATCTTCACGCTTTCGTCCGGGTTAATGCCGAGAGGTTTATCATCTAGAATTGGGTGCATAAGATGGAGAGGTTCTCCGTCGTTCCCAAATGTTGGAGATGCGTATAATGTTGTTCCGTTCTACTTCTGCTTATTGGTGAAGCGACTATCGAGGTCAAATAAGTTGACACAAAACAACGGCTTCTGCTCCTCGAAGGGGCTGGCTTTCTGGCAGTCTTGGGCGTCATGTCGATCGAGTTCATCCCCTCAGTAACCACTTTGAAGCATCTTCTCGCGGCTTCAATGTCCCTATGATGAGTGACAACACGACCCTTGGTTGTATAGTACTTCATCTTCAAGTGAATTGTGGACGACACTACGGTTAGCTCAGCCAGAGTTAGTATTCTAAGGATGCACTGGTACAGAGACAGACATTTTATCACCAAGAAGCGTACTTTGACCAGTCCAGCGGTCTGCTCGGACCCAAAAGTAATGAGCAGATCGACATGGCCCCATGGCTTAATGGTGGTGCCATTGAAGCCTTGCAGGTTGGAACCTACATACGGTGTCAAATGCCTCTCGTCGAGTTGGAGAATGGTGAACAGGTGAGCATACATAATGTCGATGGAGCTCCATTGGTTGACCAGAATGCGACGGACGTTGAAGTTCACCATTTACACTCTGATGAGCAAAGGAATACTGGAGTTGGGAGAACGGTCTGACAGCTCCTCGAGGTAGAAGGTGATTGGATTTGATTTTTCCTAAAACTTGTCGAGGGTTGCGTTCTGGTTCGATCTCACGTCGATCAGCTCGTCAAACTTCCTCTTCAACGATCCCATGGTGAGTTTGTTAAATCCTTCGCCGGATATAACCATATTGGAGGGAAAGTTCTCCCATGTGCCTTGAGTGGACACGGGCATGGTGACCTCGTCGGGGATGTAGAAGTCCTCTGGCCGAGAGACGCACAGAGCGACCTATAAACCAACGTATTTAGAAGGTGGAATTTCTTTCTTGACCTTCTTCGCCTCGCAGACGGCCTATCAAGGAGCCTCACTCCTCTTGACGTATTATTTCAAGCGTCCTTCCTTGATCAGGATTTTGATTGCATCCTTGAGGTGGATGCAGTCTTTTATGATGTGCCCGTGGCTCCTATGGAACCGGCAGTACTTGGATTTGTCGATGTTCGGCTTGAGGGCGTCAGCTTGGGGAAACAAACCCCACTCTATTGGAAATCCGAGTTTATACACTCGGCTAGGATGCGCTCGCGGGGAGCGATCAACAATGTGTACTCAGTGAAACGACCTGCTGGTCCCCTGTGCTCGTAGGAATCGCGGGGCTTATCGTCTCTTCTTTTCTCCCCGCCACGTCGGGGGGGGGGGGGGGGGGGGGCTTGGTTGTCGTACTTCAAGATCTTGGTGTTCTCTCGGTTCCGCGAGTCGTGGGCATTGTTAGCGCCTTCTTTCTCCTCGTATTGGATGTAGACCTGGGCCTTGAGGAGGAGGTCATCCAGCGAATAGGGTGTCTCGATGCCAACTGCTTTGACGAAGTCGCTGTTGGGGCACAACATTCACTCGAGCATGTATCTCTTTATCCGGTCATTCGTGGTGATTTGAACGGCTTCTCAGTTGAATATCTCTATGTAGTCTTGGAGAGATTCGTCCTTCCCCTGGATGATGACCTCAAGCAACACCTCGGATTTCGGATGTCGACAAGAGGCGGTGAGGTGCCTGGTGAACTGCGTTTTCAGGTCCTTCTAGGAGGTGATGGACTCAGAGTCGAGGCTCTTATACCACGCCATGGCGCCCTTCTTCAGAGTCGCGGGTATGAGTCGGCACTTGATGATGCCTCTGACATTGCGATAGTCAAGCATCGCATCAATGTTCTCGATGTGATCGTCTAGTTTCGTCGTGCCATCGTAGGTCACCAGACTTGGTGGTTTTCCCATCCCGACGGGGATGGGAGTCTCCATAATTTCTTGGGACAGCAGACTGCGGGGGGTGGTCTTCGTCGCTTTGGGCTGGTGAGCGCGAAGGAAAGTGGTCGTACCGAGGGCTTCTGCCACGACGTGGCGAGTTTCTTGGTCGACCCTTTGACTTCTCCAACTTCCTGCCGACTTTAATCCTTTTGGGAGCCGGGGTGCGCCGCTCTTTGCAGGGAGAAGTGTGATCTCGCTTCTGGATAATCGTGGCTTGTGGTCTCTCTAGTCGCGGCCGACGTCCAGGTTGTCGCGGGGAGAGGCTTTAAGACTCATCCCATTGGTGTCTGCATAGGGGAGAGTTTGAAGGGGTGTCTCGTTGTTGCAAGGACGGGCTACGAGGGTCATGTCGTTGGTGTCTCCGCGGGGGAGAGCGTGACTGATGGTCTTTCTCCAGCATTTAAATCCTTTCGTTCTGTTGGAAGATCATGAAATTGGTTTGGTTGATCGCTGCGAACAGGGCCACCGTAGTAGGGTCAGTGCCAGGTGGTACGGGAATTGGTTGAAAGACTCCCGGATTCTCAAAATGTTGATGTTGGACAGATTTGTAAGCCGCATTGTCAGAGGAGGGAGAGGCGGTTTGACCGTCTCTGGGGTCACTCTCTTCAGCGTCGGTAGTTTCGTTGTCATTGTGGTCACAACCGATAGCAAAAGCGGTTTCGTGAACGTGATCGTCGGCGTGTTAATTGACCATGATGATTGGTAGGTATTTGAAAAGTTACTTTGGTCTTTAAGTTTCAAGGAAAGAAAAGACGGGGGAGCAAAGTTCCCACAGACGGCGCCACTGACTTACCAGAATCAGAAGAATATCTAGAGGCCAACAACGCGTCGTGAGCTCCAAGTTCAACGGTGGTGGAAAAGAGGAGGAGGTGTACCTGCAAGACACTCTGCTGTCAAAGTGAGGTTTAAAGCGAAAGAGAGCAAGTACAGAAAGTAAGTATGAATTAGAATACCTAACCTTCCTGCGGAGGAGAGTATTTATAATGTGTCCCCAGCGTTAGGCCAACGGTCATCTGCTGTGGGTTGGATAGTAAGGCCCACAACAAATGACTGTCAGGATCCTGCGTGGAGGTAAAGAAGACCAGCACATGGTCTTCGTCCTGGGTCAGTTGCCCACAAACTCCGGGAAGTGGATGACCTATTCTCAAGAACGTGGGTTCAACTGGTGACGTGTTCCTGCGTGAGGAACACCTGGAGAACGTGTGGCGAACGTGTGGGAAACGTTACCTCCCGCGGTGATGGCAGATTGAGCCTTTGTGTTGGGCCCTCCCTGATGCGGAGCTGGGTTGGTCTGGTCCGATGGTGGGCAGTCACAGGCGCAGTTCAGAAAAATTAATATATTGAAAAGTGAGAATGACATTCATTTTGAAAACAAAAAATTTTCCTTAAAACGACAGTCATTTTAAAACTGAGAGTACTGCCCTACTAATTTTAATATCAATCATATTATGCTATAAAAAAATATTAATTATTATGCATGGTTGGCGTAAAAAATTTTACACTGTCAATTTATCACCATCATTTATTTATATAATTTTATAAATAATTAAAATCAAAATTAAATTTTTTTTCAATATCTGATATCTTGATCGTATAAAATTCAGTATATTTCAATTAAATTCTTGTAAAAATAACATTTCTACCTAAATAATTAATATGAATTATAAGTGGAACTAACCTTTATGCCATTCCATTTATTATTCAGAACAGTATGGGTGTAAAGCTAGTCCTAGTAGTACCACATTGGATAACTTGTTAGTGCCCTCTTGCTTAATCTATAATCTAATATCTATCACCTTATATATAAATATAAATATAAATATGATAACAAACATGCACCTTCTCTTTACTTTCCCCAATATATCCATCACACTTTATAGTACTTACTTTATAAACAAACAAAAACATCATTTGGTTTCAACTGTTTTCTTTCTCATCTCATCTCTTGGATTATACATATGGCTGATGATATATTTGATGAAGAGTGTGATTATCTTTTTAAAGCAGTTGTAATAGGAGATTCAGGAGTTGGGAAATCAAATCTAATATCAAGGTTTACAAAAGATGAATTCAGAATTGATTCTAAGCCAACCATAGGTGTTGAATTTGGTTACAAGAACATCAAGGTTAGAGACAAACTCATCAAAGCACAGATATGGGACACTGCCGGTCAAGAGAGGTAACATGTTTTTTTTTTTTTTTTTGTGTGTCTGTTCAAGATCTTGTTGGCTAAGGTTTTGTTTCAATGGTTAATTAATTAACCAAATTTACATAATCTGAGTTCAAGTTCTCCAATAGCATATTTTCAATATTCAACATTCAAAGTTGGTGTTCATATTTGGTTTGCTTAGTCTAGAAGGATTTATATCAACTATGCTTTAATTGACTTTATTTATTATTATTAATTTTTTCATCCCTTATCTACTTCCACACAATTTACAAATATTGGTCCCACCCCTTTTTTGTTAACGAACTTTTTATTTTGTTTGCTTTTGTATGTTACCGTATATAAATAAAATAAAATAAAAAAAGAACGGACAAAGATGTTTTTATTTTAAAAAACAAAATAAGGACAAATATTTTATGAGATTTTATTTAATTATAATTTAACATAATAAATTTTAAACAATATAAGGGAACCCTTATGCACCTTCAAAAAGACATTTTTAAATTAGTATAATTGTGTGTGTGTGTGTTTTGAAAGAATAAACTATAAAGTCTATAACTATAATAATTTCAAGTGGGAACCTTGATGACCATATGATTATCACAACTTGAATTATAAGCTTCACATTAGGTTTATATTTGTTTATAGTTTTGATTAAAATAAATGTTCACGATTTCTTTAATTGTGTTTCATTATTTTAAACGGAGTATTTGATCTTAAGATCTATTAATTCGAAAGACTAATTCTATCAAAAACAAATGTTTATTATTTTGATTAAAATAATAATTATTATAAAGATTAATTGTTATGTACTGACAGTGTTATACTGTCAATTCATCACCATCATTCGTTTGTATGATTTTATAAAGTTTTAAAATGAAAGTCAAATTTATTTTAACATCTAACGATTATGATTCGCTGACAGACTAAAATTTCTTTATACTGTCAGTGCATTTCAATTAAATTCATTATTATATATTGATAGTGCATAAATTATTGTTATTTTTAAAAAAATATTTTTGTATAAAATGATAAGTAAATAGCCGTGATTAACATATTTTTAATATTTAAAAATTTATAGGATATAAGGATGGTGTAATGGCTGAGATTGCAAAGTTGTAGATTTATAAGGTTGGGTGAGGTGGGTCTAGGACAAGGATTGGGCGTGCATAAAAAAACAACAATGAAAATGAAAGTCTATAGTAAGTAACAACAAAAAAAACATGTTGACAATGAATAGGTCGAAGAAAACCATGTGACAAAACATGGTTTTGGTCACCAACCCCACAATCAATAACTCTATGTTCTTTCCATCTCTTCAAACTCACCAAACCTTCCTATAATATCAATATCACTCAACAATAATCTTTATGTTAGGTATCAATAATATTTCTACTTCCTATCTTATTTAATATCGATCCTATATTTTATGGTAGGTTTAGAGCTATCACAAGCTCATACTATAGAGGAGCATTAGGAGCAATGCTAGTTTATGACATAACAAAATTATCGACATTTGTTAACATAAAAAAATGGTTACATGAGCTAAGAGAATTTGGAAATGAAGACATGGTGATAATTCTAGTAGCAAATAAATCTGATTTGAGTCATTCAAGGGAAGTTGAGAAAGAAGAAGGAAAAGTGTTTGCAGAGAAAGAAGGTTTATGTTTCATGGAAACTTCTGCTTTACAAAATTTGAATGTTGAGGAAGCATTTTTGCAAATGATTACTATAATACATGATATCATAAGCCAAAAAAGTTTGGAAGATAAAATGAATGGGCCAAAGTTGAATCTTAATAATGGGAAGGAAATTTATATAGCTGATGAAGTTACTGCTACTAAACGAGTCAATTGTTGTTCAAGATGAGAATTTGGATTATATGTTTTTGATATTGTGTAAATATTATTAATTAAATGATTATATATTGATGCTATTAATACTACTATTGTATTTTTTTTCCAACTTCTCTTTGTGTAATTCCTTTTTACTTTGAGCTTTGCAATTTGTATGGGATGAATTGAAGTTAAAATGTAAATGTTGGTTTTTATACTATAGTTGCTCAAAAAGTGTGTGACTGCTTTAGCCAACTTTATTAGATTTGGTTAAGTTGGTTTAACAAGTTAGAGTGAAACTAACTCTACAGCTTGTATATATGGTGACTTATCATTCTAATGTGGAGGTGAGAAAAGTATACGAAAATGGGGGAGTTGAATTGTATTTTTTGTTTTTTTAGTTTGCATTTGATCAGAGTTTAAAATTTAAATTGATGTTCAGATTCTGGTTAATTCTTAGCAGCAGAATGTTAACAGAAGCAAATCAATAATAACAGAAGACACAAAAATTTATACTGATTCCTCCCCTAACTGAGAGTAGTCAAGTTTCCTTGTTTCACAAGAGATTTTCACTATAATCAAAATATGATTACAATCGCTTATACATTCTTGCATAAAACTTTTACACTGCTCAGACCCAAGGTCCAAAACTTATGCTCCTAGTCCCATGAAACGAGCTTCTCTATTTGCACCTCCCAAGTCAATACTTACTGCTCCAATTCCATGTAATGAGCATTCCTGCTCAAGCCTTTCAGACTCAAAACTTCTTCTCTAGGTTCCATGAAACGAGTCTCTGCTTGCACCTCCTAGGTCAAGACTTACTGCTTTAATTCCATGAACCGAGCTAACCTGCTCAAGCCACACTAGCTCAAGACTTTCATGCTCAATCAATCTACTTGATTAAGACTTTCACAACTCAAGCACATAGCAAGAGACTTACATGGCTCAAGCGTCTTGGATCGAGACTTCCTTACTTGTATCCCAATGATACAAGACTTCTGCTCAATCAATCCACTTGATTAAGACTTTCACGGCTCAAGCACATAGCAAGAGACTTACTTGGCTCAAACATCTTGGCTCGAGACTTCCTTACTTGTATCCCAATGGCACAAGAATTTTATCTAAACTGCTGAACAAGCTCAGCAGAATAGAGAACAAGGTGAACATGATACAAGTATCAGAGGTACGGGAAATCACCATAACAAAGACCTAAAGCGCTTAAGATTTCTAAGATATTCAATGTGTAAGAAATCTTAAGGCTTTTACAATTACAACCTACATTAGAAAAATCTGCATATACATTGAGTTGATAAGTGTTAATCTTGTTACTCCTTCTTCTAGTTGATCCTTGTTAAAGATTCAGTTTGAACCTTCAGACATATTTATAACCTTTTCAAAAACTATTCGTTGAAAAGGTAACTTGACCAAGAGTATTTGTTGTTACTTCATAGTACAAGAGCCCTTGATGATAGATACACCAGCAGATCTTAATCCAATGTGTAACATGTTTAAACTTTGAGTCTTCAAGAGATTCTGTACTATTAGAGCCATTGAGACTTAAGAGTGGATAACCATAAAGTATCTCAGCCTTTCTTGAGCCTTGCAACTCTGTAGACTATAGCTGACAAACTAGTTTGACAATACAACTTGCTTTATGCAGTACGAACAACTTCAGCTTTTTCACCAACTCTGAATGGTACCAGAAGTCAATTTGCATTCACTAAGTGTAGAGACAATTATGTTGCTTCTTCTGATGCTGAGACCTTCAGCTTCAAAGTATTTGTCAGACATCACTTAGTAAGTGTTCTTCAAATTATGCCACCAGAAGCTAGCAATTCAGCAACTCTCAAAGTGTGCTTAATGTAGAAAATATTCTGACAATAATATTTACAAGTATTAGAACCTGCGCACATGTAACACATATAAAATAAATCATTGTTCTTTCAATACTTTGTTATCATCAAAACCCAAGGAAAATATGTCATGAACAAATCTTGTTCTAACAATCTCCCATTTTTTTATGATGACAAACACAAGTATTTAAAGGACAACGTTGGGCAGTTATTATTTTCTTTGCAACATCAGGGTATGAGGTTTGTAAGTTCTCCCTAAGTCTAATAGTCCAAAACAGATTTTTGTAGATATCATACTAGGTACTACTCTCAAGAAAAAGTAATTCAGTTTTCTTAGTAACATCAGAGTCTGAGGTTTGTAAGCTCCCCCTGAGTCAAACAGTTCTAAGGATGAGGTTTGTAAGCTCCCCCCGTAAGTTTCATATTTAAGAAAACCAAAAATAATATTTTAATTTTCTTTAGAAAAATCAGAATACGAGGTTTGTAAGCTCCTTCTGAGTCTGATAGGCTAAGGTTAAGGTTTGTAAGCTCCTCCTTAGTTATATGTACAAGAAAGTTAAAATGTGTCGCCCGGACAAGATAACCATAAAAACAGAAATATAAATAACAAAATTATAAATGACCAATATGTAGAACTGAATAGGTACTCAATGGGTTTATTTTCTAATTAAATATTTACCATTACTTCTCTCCCTTTTGTCACATCAAAAAGAAAATAAAAAGAGAAAAAGAAAAGAATTACAGTCATAAATGCATCAAAGATCATCATAACAGGATCAGTTTTCAAGGAATTGAAAAATGATCAAGTAACATGGGGTCATTAAAGATTGTATAGTGCATGCTTATTAGTCATAACAATTTCAAGAATCAAGTCAGACATTTGAGTTACTCAGAAGTCATTATAAAAGTAGTCCAAACCTAGTTCATTTTCATCAACATCCACCAGATTCATGGAGGCATCAGCTGAGAGTCATAAGACTTCTATAGTAACAGAAATATCTGAGAGCTCTATAAGACAAGATGTCAAGAGCATTCAAAAATGAGTTGTTTCTGAATCATCTTCCACTGGGCATGTGCCCTTTGTAAGACTCACTTCTGAAGAAGCAATGTCAACAACTCTAACACAACCTACATGAGTAGGTTCATCAGAAGCTCTTATGAAGCCCATAAGAAAGATAATGAAGAGATCAAAGAAGAGAAGACGGTCCAAAAAGATGTTCTACCGTCTAATCCCAGAGGAAGAAATTGATGAGGATGAGTTAGACATAGGCTATGGCAATTGTTATCATCATAAGGCTCAGAATGACTTAGATAAGGACCTATGTTAAGCATTAGCAGTTCCTTATGAATCAATATTTTGTAATCCTCTTCTTCAATTAATGAAAAAATATCTTTCTAACCAAATTTTGTTTATTGCATGCAAATACTTTCAATAACTTCCTTTAGATTTACAAAAAGACATTAATGAAGTAAAACTGACACCAGAAACAACAGTTAAACGAGTCAAGTATAATATTCATAGTTGTTAAAGAATCTTTAATAGGTTAGACTGTTAGATAACATTTCCAAGATACATCATTTAAGATATTTATAAGACTTGATCAATATTAAAACAACAGATACTTAGAACAATGTATGTAATAAGTCTATATAAGAATTTATAGCATGCTTACTTTCATAATCACTTAATCCTCAAAACACCAAGATGTACAAACAGAATAAAATCTGGGTTCCAAAGAGAGATTTCAGAAAGACAATCATACTAAATGCAACAACTCAGATAAGTGAAAGCAAAGCAGCAGCTGAAGGATCTACTAACAAGCAGATGACTTCATAAGCTCTCACCTATTCATCATCCTTTGTGAAAACACACAGAAGAAGAAGATCTTATGGGTTCAGACGCGGAAATCAACTGAGAAAGGAGGCTTTGAAATTTTCCAAGGAAGAAAGGGAAGATTACTTAGATAATCTGGACATGTCAGATGATCCTAGGATACCTTAGTGACAATCCATCAGACTAGAATGTCTAAATAATTTGTAATCTCTTCCTTCTTATTAATGATAAAAGTTGCAAACATTAAGTTCTTACTCCCATTAATTTTAATTATTTTGAACAACCATAAATAAATACAATCAACATTTAACTGATCAAGAGCATGAACAAACTTTGAATTAATAATAAGATAACTTAATACAAAGGTTCTAACAATTACAAGGCATAACTATGCAGAAATCTAACATCAGAATTTTTCATAGATAACTTCAAACTTGTCTCTCTAGATTTTATACAAATCAGCCTCTGTACTTATGATAACTCCCTGGTGAACAAGTAATTCTAAAAGTATCCGTCCAAAAGGAATGAAGAAAATATTTTCCTTGTGAAAGGAAGAAAGAGTCTTCTTCAAATAGTAAAACATAACTTGAGGAAAATCAATCTGCAAGTCTAAATTGAGAAGTAGAAGTACATATTTTTCAATAGGGTCCACAAGATCTAAATCCTTATCCTTAAGAAGTAAGTTTGAATTCAGAATCGGATTCCAAACAATAACATCAGGACAATGATTTGAGACCACTGATATATTAGATGGATCTATAAAGATACGCCAAGTAGTAAGATAGTTTTCTCAAAACAAGAGTTCTTGAGATTTCTCCAATTTCATTATAGTTGATCACATTAGCAATCACTTTAGAGATCACTGTTATAGAAACACCAGTTACTTTAGAAAGAATGGCACACTCAGAATTCAGCTCAACAACGAGAGCATTAATCCAAAACTCTTTGACAAGATCTGGATAAGTGAAACCACTGAGCATCTCAAAGTATCCATTCCATCCTTGCTCACGAACAGTATTCCATAAGTTAAAGCCTAACTTAAGAAAATCATAAAAATTCACAAACTTTTCATTGATGACTACCAGTTGATTCAAAGAAAAATTGACTAGGAAATTCATCTCAAGTTTGGCTTGATTAGCACACAACCACAGAGAAAATAAAAAGAAAAAGAATTGAACAAGACTCCTAAAAGAATAAGAATCTTGCCAGAGGAAGGACAGGTTGATGTTTCACAAGACAAGGGATAGTGACAATAAGTATCCAAAAAGAAAACATCATTACCCAAAGGTTCTTATCTAGCAGATTTCTTGAATCCACTAGTTGAATTTCACCTTTATGAAAATTTAA